CTATAAATAACATAAAAATATTTTTGACAATACGTAACTATTATCAAAGACAAAGTCAAATAACCTTTTTCATTACCTTTAAAATCCCACTAACATTTTACTTAAGTTTTGTGTAACACTTTGGGGATGTGGTACCAACCAATCCAGACATCCAGTTCAACATTATACTAATTTTCTGTGTTTGCAGTAAAAAAAAACCCTATTGATGGGTCAAACAACACATTTTATAAATAAATCATGACTGATATGATAACAGTTCTAAAGCTTACACAGTAATGTCAAAACTGCAATTCATCTCATGCTTTTACCTGACTTTCCGAAGCTCAATATCTTCTTTTGTCTGTACTTTGGGCTTTTGGTTGGCCTCAGAAATCATAGCGCGGATTTTGGCCAGACAGTCTGCTAAGTTGCGCATCTGGTAACGGCTGACTTCTGAAACTACAAATAACTCCCCACTTCGGTTGATCTTGTTTTTGTTCTACAGGACAAAGTATACAAACGGGAATCAATAAATGCAAAAGGAAAGGCCCACAAGAAACACTAACAGGGTTATTCACAAAAGGGTGAAGGGTTTGGAGATGGCAGGAGAAGTGACCAATCTAGGACAACATAGCGGATTTGGAAAAATTCTCCAGTTCAGCTCACTTTCCAGTTCATCTATGTTGTCCTAGATTGTTCACTTCTCCTGCCTTCTCCACACTCTTCTGTGAATAACCCTGTAAGAAAAATGGCAAAAGAAACGAGAACTCATAGAACCTCTGTAAACAGGCTTTTGAGATCAGTTATTTTAAATGATAATTAAAAAGTTGTTTTAAATTTAGGGTGAATTAGTGAAGCATTAGGATCTCTACCAAATTTTATTGCTATCTGTATTGATGGTGAGATTCACTGTCTCCATTTGTCCTGGTGACCACTGGGACAGCAAATAATGGCAAACCCAACATTTTACAGCTGTCACAGAACAGGATTAGTGGTAAAATCTCCTAAAAATTACACCTGTTCCTGCGACAACTGTATATTTCCTCTTAGTTTGGAAAAAAATCCCCTCACTTTCCATTGTGTTACCAGGTAAAGAAGTAAATGAAAATATCCTCAAATGTGGAAGAAAAACAAAAAGGTTTTGGCTTTAGATATCTTTTTACGTTAAAGTGACACTAAACTCAGGAGTTAACTCCTAAAAATACATTCAAGTATCCTATTAACAAAAATGTATCTTATGTGTGTATCACTCGGCTGTACATCCTCAAATCATCTCTGAATTGGTGCTGACACTGTCCTTCCTTCTGGAGGGTGGCTACTTTTGTTCCCCATGGTCCCTGTGTGTGTTGCAAAGTAGCCACCGAGCCAAGCTCACTCCAGTGATGGACTACACTCTCTATCTCAAATGCATATATGGTATGTGGCAGCACAGCAATGGACTTTACCACCATGCTGCCACATATATGCATGCAACGGGTGCCAGTGTTTTGTGCTGGGAGCATGATCACTTGGCGCCCCCAGCACAGTGACCGTGCATCACTGACAGCTAGCGAGAGCCAGCAGGATAGGCTGCTGATCACGTGATCAATGTCACAGTCAATCACAAATTGGAAGCCCACCTAACAGCCTGTAGCATTAAGATCAATGTAAAGGGCTGCTGGCACAATGTGGTGAAAAACAACAATCACTGAAAAAAGTGCTTTAATATATTGATACACAGCATGTGCCAGGGGAATAGCCTGGGGAAATGTTGGGAGTACAACAGGGGCTGACATTATGGCCAGAGTGAAAGGAGAAGACATCTTGAACAGGGGAAGGTTTGGAGGGATGGATGGGACTTGAAGGTTTGAACCAGAGTGTAGCTATACTGTGATAGGGCTCAGACTATCACAATTCACTATTTGTATTGGAGTGCATTTAACATTCTTTATGTTTGTATGTCTCCGTGTACAATATGATTTTGTTTATGTACAATTGTTGTGAATACACCTTATGTACATATCATCTTGGGAGCCTCCTGCTTAGTGACGGGCAGGCTCAGTGACAGAGAGCTTTAAGCGGTGGGTGGAATTGGGGCAGAAGACACTTTACTGGAAAACATTATACGATTAAATTAAACGTTAAGAGCTACTTAAGTATTTTGCAACATATGCTCAGCTTGAATTTCTTAGGTTTGTGAAAGGGTTACATAAATGTCTTTGGTGTGTTTCCTAATTAGTGACATGTTCTTGCAGAACCAATCAGTAATCCCTATGCAATGAGAAACGATGATGCTTCAGTTGCGTTCTGTTCACCATGGGAGGGCCCAGAAGGTCACACAGAAGCCCCTGTATACACTTGCCGTAGGCCAATTCACAGCACATTGTATTCTAAAAAAGGGATACATAGGGTTTAATTACAAGCACTGAGATTTTCTGCCGGACATCCTCAGGAATCCAGTCTGCTGAGGACAAGTGAAAACGCACTTCAGCCTTTGTGTTAACTGTATGGGGGAAGAAGAATTACAGTTAGCTTAGCATGTTATCATTTCACCATACTTAAAGCTGATACAAATACACGACGTAGAACAAATTACACAAAAGGTTCTCTCTTTTAGGGAGTGTGACCCACTTCAAGCACATTCCAGCCACTTCCTACTTCAAGCACACACAAGCACGTTTCCTGCAGAAATATATCTGCAGGAAACGCCGTCTTTTTATCTATATTTATACGTGTGATTAGTATTGAAGCCCAACGTCTAGTTTTTTTAATGTAAATCTCCCCTCACTTGTCTATGGAATCCCCATTTTTTTTGTGCAACTTCTCTACTGTCTATAAAAAATCCCTTGCAGATGTCCAGGTGACGTCATGTTCTGGCTTCCAGTGTTGCAGAGGAGGAGACTACAGGGCACCCTTCATGATGTAGAAGCACCCTGCGGGGTTGCTGAGGAGACTGGTCACCAAGCACACAACTACCTGGCTCGGTTGACTGGTCTTCTCAACAGGAAATGCTGCCTCATTTAGAGATTAAGGAGCTGGGGGCATCTTAAAAAGCATTCCCCATTGTAAAGCTTGGACATCTTCCACTGTTTAAAAATAAATTGTTCCCAGACTTTAGCTTGAAGCAAAACAAAACAGTATTATCAACAAATTCCCATGTTTTAAAAACCTTGTTTGTGTGCGCAGTTTGGAATGATGTTTGTACATATCCCCGCCATATTTTATCCTTACATATGCAGGCTCTTCTTGTTTTACATTGAAACATTATCACTGCTCCTCATAATTCTCTCATTAACCTATTCATGCGGCAGAACACTAAACTGCTAATTCAACTCCATTTCAGGACTCATTTTCTGGCTGCATGTAGTGGGTAGAACTGTGACACTTTCTGAAATTATTTTGGAATCCAGGGACCAGTCTGTTCAAGCCAGGAGCCTGCATGATATATTACATATATATTTTTTAAGATGCCAGCTTTATTGACAGCAACTCAACAAAACCTCACAAATTAGGTGCCGCCTGTTATTTTTCAGGAACATTGGCTACCTGGCTCCCAGGATTTGTCCAGCCTTGCCTTAAGGCTTATTTATACGTGCAACCAAGGGGCAGTAAACACAGCTGTTGATTTACGTTTTTACCACTACCTGGCTGCCCGCTACAAACAAGATCATACAGGTGAATGGGACCATGCCACAACCGTGTGATAAATACAGTTGCAGCGCGGGTAGTTTTATGGGCTCTGGGAACTCCTTCATACAAGGATACCCATAGACACAGGACAACACCTAGAGGTTTCTACCACTGCTACAGACTGTCTAGCTGCAGATAGACTAGCATTGGAATTCCAATCAGGTCCACCTGAAAAACTGACAGGTGGACCCAATCAGACTGCCCGTGTGAAAGGGGCCTAAAAATATTAAAAATGGAAATTAAATATTTAAAAAGATATCAGTTTATGATGTAATCTTAAACAAACTAAAACCGTTTACACACACACACACACATCGTACCTTTGTTAACATTCTGTCCTCCAGGGCCGCTGCTCTTACTGTAGGAGATGGTCAACCGATCTGATGAAATACATTTTGTTAATACTTTTTGTATCTTCGGAGCATGCTCCTAATAAAAAATTGATGTTGAAGAGACACTGTCACCTTCACCATGCCCCCAACCCCCTTATATTCACCTTACCAGCCCACCCCCGCTGCTCTTTCCTCCTCCACAAAACTGGCACTTCTGGATATAAGGGGGAGCATGTGACATCCTCCCCTGTAAGAGTGCTCAGGTCTATAAACAAAGCGCTAGGCCCAAGCACTGTCTCATGACTAGGAGAATGATTGCTCCACAAGGTCCCTGACGAATAGTGGTTTCTAAGCCAGACACTACTTCTATAAAAAAAAACAAAACAAAAAACAACTGGCTGGAGGTAGGCTCTAATGTTGTTAGTACAATATACACTTTTACATTTGTGGCCAGCAAATATAATAAAATATAGTCTATAACATATAATGGTCTATAACAAATATAATCTGCAAACATTTCCAATTTCTCTTCTTTAAAACAACATAATACTTGTATACACCACTGCAAGTACACACAGGTTTAGACTTCATCATCAACTGCACGATAAAGATCATCAAAGATTGAAATGTATTTAGATCTACAATGGATTGTTTTTTGTTTTTCAACTGGAGTTTGGCTCCAATAATTCTAGCTAAGTCTACTTACCAACGGGAATGTCTCTGTAATTCTGGGCGCTTTCCTGGAAATAGGACAAAAAAATATTTTATTGGTTGGTATGACGGGTCTAAAAGGTGCCCATACACCTCACGATTATCGGACGAAACGCTTCGTCCGATGATCGAATAGTCGTACGATTTTCGTACGGCAGCCCCATCCTGCCCCGATGATCGCAAGATTAATTTAGCCGTAATTAACGAAAAGCACCTGGACGAAATGCGGTAACTGATTTGTCGTATTTTCGTTCACGCATGCGCAGTGTAGATCGTACGACTTTTGACGGACGGAAACGCCAGCAACCTTACGACAATCGTACGATCGAGCAAAGTTTTCAAACATGCTTGACCGTCAAAAGTCCAAAAGTCGTACGATTGTACAGTAATGTCGGTCGGACACTGCAATGCACACATACGAATGTCGGCCGAAAAGTCGATCGCATACGAAAATCGTCCGATAATCGTAAGGTGTATGGGCACCTTTAACCTACAGCCAGCTGCAATCCTAAGAAGATCTGTATTGAGCCCTCACAAATAGCAGCTGAAGGGCATTTGAAACCAGCTGCCCTGTGCTTTCTCCCTTAGGCCCCTTTTACATGGGCGGTCCGACCGTGTCTGCCTGTTGGTTATTCAGCTGGACCAGATCGGATACCCAATGTGAGTCTATGGACAGACGTCCGTTTACACCCGGTTACCCCCGACTCCGGCCAGGTCCAGAAAAGCAAACGCATCTGAGATACATTTCGCAAACCTGATTGTGCCGGATCAGGGGTAATCTAAATGAAAACGGAAACCGAAGTGTGAAATAATAAATTGCTGGGGGACAAAGATTTTTGGAGAGATGTAGAAAGTCTCTACTGATAAAAGGGGGAAACCCCACGTCATTTTTTAATTACATTGTAGGCTGGGTCTCCCTGACATTCTGCATACATTTAAAAGATGCTGTTTTGTGGGGAAAAAAAAGGCTGAGGAACGGTGATGTAAACAATACTTCTTTCCTATGTTCCTCAGGGCCATAATGTGGTATTGCATGATATCACATTTGACCTGAAAAGAAAATATATGAAGGACATTAATTTTTTGCCTCTATTTTCACATAACGAACGCTCACAGAGATTTGCAGGGTGACTGGCTTTGTTAATGGGTAATAAAATACACCCCAGAGTGCCCTTGTGTTGATCTATGTAGATTAACACAGCTCCATGCACATGGTGTGAGCAATGAATGTGAATCTGATCTCAATCAGGCGAGCCAATTGATGCTTCACTATATACTGGTATTTGAAAATAATAAATCCCATCATTTGGGGGCTGAACGAACAGTTTACAACAATACAGCACGATTATAGTTATGTACAGAAGACCGTAGATCAGACATAAAGCAGAGACCTTGAGGAATGTGGATTGTGGAACACAAGGTTGTGTTTCAGCAAAACGACAGACTATGGGGCATGTCTCCATTCTCATACAGGTCATGCTCTCTTCCCTTATTGGTGAATCAAGCTGTCACTCACTCTCCTAGTCCCGCCTGTTGTCTCCCGCTCACCTTAGCCGGCTGCTTTGTGCTGTCCGGATACAGTTTATCTAAGCTGTAAGCACTCCGAAAACCGGAGCAGTACCGAACCCCGGTGAGCCGAAACACACTGAGCCGCGGTAACACACCGGCCAACGCCATATTGGTCTCTATGCCCTTCCTGCTCGTCTGTTCACAGTGCTCCGCCAAATGACGTCCGGCTGTGAAATGCAGCTCAGTCAAAATGGTTCCGCTTCTAGATAGGCAAGCCCTATCAGTAACCCAAGTGCTGGAGATCAGGTTTCACTTTTGATATTAATGCGATTAGTTGCATGGAAAGTGTTCAAAAAATTTACATTCCTAATATGATTCAGGCAGAAAAAAAATAATATTTTTAAAAGAAGATTACGAAACCCTTTTATACTGACACATATCTGGAAGGAACCTTCACAAAAAAAAATCCCATTCATGCTTATCGCCACTGTTCACACCTGAGCGTTTTGTCTAAATAAGCAAAACACCTGTTGGAAAAAGTACATGAGCTTCCTTTTGGCAGATTACAGCGCGTTTTGTCCCCATAGACGGAATAGGAAACGCGCAATGCAATTATTTTTGCTGACATTTTATGCACATTCGCCCATTTACATCAATATGCCACAATCTGCTCACACAAATGTGCGACTCAATGCATGTGTGTAAAATGTGCACAAAAATGTGCAAAACATGTAGCAAAAAATGTGCATTTCTGCGCACAAAAATGGTAGGTGGGAATGGAGCCTAAAAAGGTTCAGGTTCCAAGGCTGTCATCCCGATCCAGTTTGTTCACATGAAAAAGTGATTTAATCAAAATCATTAATTCTACTGCTGCTACTAGGGCATTTCCCCACCTTTAGGGTCTCTTTCACACAGGCTTTCCATCAGTCTACTTTTGACCCATGATTACAAAAGCCAACTGCAATACGTCCCTATGGGTGGCCAGATGGAAGTGGATGTGTGTCCACCTATATCCGCCCATTTCTAGGTCCCTCTAGGTTAGTTGGAAAGAATGCAAAAAGTTCAGGTCTGCATCTACTGATCCAACCGGCTGTGAGCGGATGTAGGTGGATGCAGGTATGTTCACATTTGCCCACCCATAGAGATAACCAAAGAAATGGTAATTCATGAGAAGGGGCTATGGTGGGTGTGGGATGAGCTTCAATGATAGGTCTGGAGAGAGATCTGTTGACCTTGATGATGACACCGCACACCGAAAGGAAAGACAACCTTAGACCCTAGATATACGAGACTTAAGAAAGACAGGTCTCCCTTGCATACTGCCTAGGAAGGTCTACTCATTGGCACCACATTTGGAACACCTAGATTTCTAATTTCATGGATTTCAAATGGTGTTTAATGTAGGGGTGTACTTTCTTTTTCTATGCAACTAATCTGCATTTTGGTTAATTTTAGGTGTCCTTTGTATTGTAAACTATATCACCTTTACCTGTAGGCGCTGTTTGAATGAAGATATTATGTTTGCCTGTTCAAATATTTATTTATTACAGGTATTTATATAGCGCCGACAATTTACGCAGCACTTCACATAGAGCGCATTCACATCAGTCCCTGCCCTCAAGGAACTTACAATCTAAGGTCCCTCTCTCAAATGGCATACATACCATTTGAGCCTAGTGTGCTGAAATATGTTTGTAAGAAATTGAGTGTGCCAGACAGGGCCACCCTTAGAACTTCTGGGGCCTCATATAGTCTACATGACAGAGCCCCACAACCTTCCAGACACCCGCCAATCCTCTCAACTTGAGGTCTTAAGAAAGAGGGAAAGCTTAGGTAGCCTGGCAAAAAGTGAGTGTGGTTAAATTGCACTGAATATTGGGCGTGGTTTAATAGGGTCCGAGCCTACTTGCATATATTACACTGAATATTGGGCGTGGTTTAATAGGGTCCGAGCCTACTTGCATATATTATAGAGCTGCAGCTAACGATTATTTTCAAAATCGATTAGTTAGCCGATTATTAAGTTCGATTAATCGGTTAATCGGATAAACAATAAAATAAATGTTAAAAAATGTAAGCCTACTTGCATATATTACACTGAATATTGGGCGTGGTTTAATAGGGTCCGAGCCTACTTGCATATACACCACACATTTTAGCTGCTTTACTTCTACAAAACAATTCATAATTGCAATGGCACAAAAAAAAAAAAAAAAACAGGATTGTGTGAATGCAGCAAAAAAAAAAAATTGGTGTAAGTGCAGCAAATTTAAAAAAAAAATAAAAAAATAAAAAGAAAAAAAAAAAAAAAAAAAAAAACAGGATTGTGTGAATGCAGCAAAAAAAAAAAATTGGTGTAAGTGCAGCAAACTACCCCCAGGATTGGTGTCAGTGCAGCAAAATACCCCCCAGGATTGGTGCCAGTGCAGCAAAATACCCCCCCAGGGTTGGTGTCAGTGCAGCAAAATACCCCCCAGGGTTGGTGTCAGTGCAGCAAAATACCCCCCAGGGATGGTGTCAGTGCAGCAAAATACCCCCAGGGTTGGTGTCAGTGCAGCAACATACCCCCCACGGTTGGTGTCAGTGCAGCAAAATACCCCCCAGCGTTTGTGTCAGTGCAGCAAAATACCCCCCAGGGTTGGTGTCAGTGCAGCAAAATACACTCCAGGATTGGTGGCAGTGCAGCTTTTAAACACTGCCCACTCTTCTCAGGATAGACCACCATTAATGCTAATAAGGGCCATCCCTACCTTATTCACAAAAAGCACTCACATACTTAAAGTGACATTAAACCCTCAGATTGTTTAACATAAACCAATACTGTAATGTGTGCCTTACTGTAATCCATGGTAGTTTCCCTTCTCTTTTCACAACCCACCAGTTGAGAACCAAGGGATTAAAGTATACAAGCGGTAAATGGTGGTGTACGGGTTCTTCTTTTACCACATGAAGATATCAGTTTGGAGATAGAGCAACCAAAAATACCACAGGCTACAAGATACATGAGAGGCAGAAAAAGTAAAGAATACTGTATGTTGTCAAAGTGATACCTTTTAGTGTCTAAAACATGTTCTTAGAGCTCCTAAAGTTCCTTATAATACCTGAAGAAGAAGCTTTATAGCTCAGTAAGCATATTTTGAAATACTTTTAGTTAGCTGCTAAAGGCATCACTTTGACAACATTTGTTTTTTTGCCTTCGCTACCTCTGTATTTATTCTGGGCTAACACAGTGCTTTTTTTTTTTCCTATGATACACATGTATTTGAAGCTAAACGAACAGATTGACTAACCAAATACCTAAAAGTTTGGAAACGCTACATTGACAATTACTTACCACAAGACTGACAATAACCTGCTGGAACAAGAATTGATCCGATGCTACACATTGAGCAGAAAGAGGCATCTCGACCTACCCTCTCCGAACCAAAGACAAATTCTCTGATCACCTCTGTTGAAGAGGACCTGCTTCTCCATACTCTTCTTTTCATTTGATTACATGAAGTCTGCCCTAATGTGACATTTGTGTAAAGATGATAACATGGTGTACACCTTGAAATTACTACAAACAAGTGTGGAAGACCAAAATGTGACATTCGCTGTTGAATTACCACAATCCAAATATTGAACAAGAAAATTTTTTTAGGTGTAAGGTTACTATGGCATTGGTGCAAGTCTTGTTCCATTGGACCCTGATCCTTAAGGTCCCCACACACCTTACGATAATCGTGGGAAACCCCGCGATCGTACGATTATCGTAAGGTGTGTGGAAGCCGTGCGACCTCTACTACTGTAAGGTCGCACGACTTTGAACTTACGGACATGTTCGAAAACCCGCCGAGCATCGTACGACGTTTGGCGGGTTTGCGGCATGTCCGTGCGATAACAGCCGTACGGGCCGGTGTGCGCAAGCGCACACTGCTCGTTCGGCATTGCGGTCATCGGAAGCCCGCCCCTCAGGGGGCGTGGCTTGAGATCATCGCAAGTACGATCTGCCTATGCGAGATAGGCAGATCGTACGTTTTTTTAAGTACCTTACAACCATCGCAAGACAAAAGTCTTGCGATGGTTGTAAGGTGTGTGCCCAGCCTTAGTACTGTGACATAGAAGATTTGTTTTCATGTATTTGGTTTTACAGTAGAAAATTGGGTAAATTACAAAATTGTGCATTTGTAACAACATATAGCAAAACAAGCAAAAAAAAACACAGCCACCTGGTTTGCTGGAATACTCTAGAATATTTATTATGTTAAGAATAAAGCAACTTTAAATAGAATAGTAAGGTGCCTCTCTTCCAGCCAAAACATAACAGGATGGCTTGTTGAGGGCTAATACTGAGAAAAATTCCAGTCCAATACAGCAGGGGTTAAATGAAAGAGAACCTGTCAGAATAAATAATGGTACTGGCACAGCTCACAGTTCAACTAGAAAAAAAGTATACCAATTTTTTGAATGGTAAGCAAAAACAGTGCCTCACTTAGTGTGTTTGGTGTGGGACTTCAACAGGGAAAGGTTGTGGGCCATGATGGTGGTAGTGGATCCAGGCCAAGGGTTATCATCCACTATAGGAGGGTGCTGTGTCCTAGTTTCTTGTCAGCCATTGGTTGGCTAGGTGTGTGGTGTGCATGGATGTGTGTCCTGGGTAGGGGTGGGGGGTATATTGTGTATACAAGTTGGTTGTCAATTTTGGGTGCTCATCATCCTGGGGGTGAGGAGTGGATCATTGGAGCTTGTCAGATGTTAGGATTGGAACATATGCTGTGGTCAGTTGTTGATGCTGTGTGGTTGGTCCGTGGAGGTTGAAGATCATGAGTTGGCACCTTCACAAAGTGGAAGTTACCATCTTCTGATATGAGATAAATGACTGGCAGTAATTATGTTAGGTCCAGAAACACCAGTGTCAGATTTATACCTGGCTAAAAATCATCAATAGGATGCATTATAGGGAGGGTAGAAATGAACATAAGGTCACCACTCCCCTCCCTTACAACCCCAGATCTATAGTACAGTATCATCTCGTCTCTATCACAGTTCTTGGATCTAGCTGGAACGGTGGTTTTACAAGTTACAGAATGTATCCTGCTGAATGTGCACTTGAAGTACAAATACTGATCAGGAACACTCATGTACACTTCTCTGTTCAGTGACAAACAACTAATAGCCAGTGGGACACAGACAAACAGAAATTCACTTAACTACATGGCCGTGCCAGAAAACACTGTAACAGGGATTA